TAAAATAGTTTTTACTCTTCTTGGGAAGTGCCTTGTGATTTTTTTCTTGAGGGCACTATATAAAAATCATTTCTTCTTCATGTCTTTCATCATTTATCTTTTTCTTTTGGTACTGAAAGTGAAATAATTAAATTGCTGTAGATGGTATTTATTTGACTTTACTGCGTAAGAAAAATACATGGTGAACAAGTTGGACTAGAAAATACCTCATGCCCCTAAAGTATCAAGTACTTCAAATAAAGCTTTATTTATTCATAAATGCAAAGTTTTAAGTTGGAACCTGCTGAAATAATTCTAATACATTTATTTTGGAGGGAAATTGCTGTGAAAATAAGATTAACATCACTGATCCTTATAAGTCTTTTTGTCTGACACACAACAAATATTATAAGCCATAAATCAACTTGCTGCCTGTCAGAAGAAGAAGAAGAAAATATAATTTCTATAGCGCCTCTCAAGATAAAAATCATGAGGCGCTTCACAAAAAAAAAATGTAAAAATATAAAAAAGCATTTAGAAAATGTTTAATAATATATTTAAAATGAGCAAAAATAGACAATTGTGATTAAAAAATGTTAAAAAAGAGAGAGAGTGAACAGGAAAGAGGGAAATCAGTGGATCCTGAGGAAGGTGGAATAGGTGAGGAGAGCAGAATAAAGAGAGAGTGGTAAAGAAGGTCATACAAAACCAGCTTGAACAAGTGAGTCTTCAGCTGCTTTTTAAAGGAGACCACTGAGTCCACTGATCTCAGGCTCAGGGGGAGAGAGTTCCTGAGTCTGGGGACCACAGCAGCAAATGATCTGTCTCTTTTGGTCTTTAGCCTGGTGTGCTGCACAACCAGTAGGCTTTGATCACTGGACCTCAGGGACCTGCTGGGGGTGTAGGGACTAAGAAGATCACCAATGTAAGATGGTGCTTGTCCATGTAAGGCCCTATAGACCAGAACCAGGATCTTGAAATGAACCCTGAAGTTGACTGGCAGCCAGTGAAGCTGGAGGAGAAGCGGGGTGATGTGGGTGTGTTTGGAGGACTTGGTCAGAAGCCGAGCACAGGCATTCTGAACCACCTGTAGACGGTTCAGGGAGGTTCTGCTCAGACACGTGAAAAGAGAGTTACAGTAGTCTAAGCGTGAGGAAATGAAGGAGTGGAGGACTGTCTCAAGTTCAGAGCGAGACAGAATGGGACTCAGCTTAGCAATGCTCCTGAGATGGAAGAAGGAAGAGCGAACAAGAGAACTGGCATGAGAATCCAGGGTGAGAGCTGGGTCAAAGGTCAGCATAACACACACACACACACACACACACACACACCTCTAATGAGACGGATACAGGTGGCAGTGGGTTCATCATAATGTCCATAAATAGGGACGGTATCACCAGCAGATGGGGCAAGCACGCACACACACACTACAACAAAAATGATTAATACCCTTTAAAATGGTAAAAGTACTTGCTCATGTCTGAAATTAACAGAATACCTCCTTTTAAGAGAACTTGTTAAATACACACACTTAAGATGACGCTCCGTGCTGCTTTGTTGGCTGATTAACATCGGTTTCTCTTTTGTTTGAGTGTGTTCCCATCACGCTGAGATTGCTGCCGCCTCTTGTTAACCTCCATCATTTGAAACAACCCAGTGGCTCTCCTTCAAGCATGCTTATCAGCCTCTTTGTCCCAAACCTCTCTCTCACTGTCAACAGTTATGTCTCTGTTACCCCCTGCATGTGTGTGTGTGTGTGTGTGTGTGTGTGTGTGTGTGTGTGTGTGTGTGTGTGTGTGTGTGTGTGTGTGTGTGTGTGTGTGTGTGTGTGTGTGTGTGTGTGTGTGTGTGTGTGTGTGATTCCATCCAGCTCAGTAGCCACAAAGTTAGCCGCAGCCACTGAAGAGCCACTCCAATATCCTCTCACTCTAACCTGATTATTAATTACAGTCTGCCTCACGCTGACCACAGCCCAAACGCTGTCTGGCACAGTTTCCAAGGAGACCAACACAAAGTCATTCACAAACAAGATACTGCAAAAAAAAAGAGAGTTAAGCACCTTCACAGCTCAGCAGTTGTTCATTTTGCTAAGCTATTAATGGCTTTGTTAACTACGACATTCAAACTATTTTAATTAAATGCACGACAATCAAAAGTTATTCAAACACGTTCCATTTGAAGAAAGAGAATTAACGTCTAGTTGACACCTCTTGCGAGTTTGGCGCCTTATGAAAAGCCCTATAACTCAGTCAAGATGAAGGCCATCATCTGGTAGCAAAATTATAAGTTGATCAAAGTGACGGTGAGCCAGAAAGCCAGTCATGCCTGAGCAGAAGCCACTCAGCAGTAATGAACCTGGAGCTGCGCCTGCAGCGAGGCCGAGGGACATCCAGCCTCAAATGGGCTCCTGGCAATCAGCTGTGTGTGTGTGTGTGTGTGTGTGTGTGTGTGTGTGTGTGTGTGTGTGTGTGTGTGTGTGTGTGTGTGTGTGTGTGTGTGTGTGTGTGAGTGAAACACTTGTATTGAGATGGAGAGTAGATTAAGCTCTTGCAGAAGCAAAAAATGGTTCACAAGTGAGTTATTATGGAATTCACCAAACGATTCCCGTTACTCTTGGATGCAATTCACCAGATATTCACCAAATTAGTCAGATTTTTCATACGATATCTTCTTTCTCTTTGAACATGAGCAAGATCTGGGTTTTTTTTCAACAATTTTAACACCTGTAATGTTTAAAATTAATCCAATGCTTCATATAAGAGATGTGGTCCAGGTGAAGAAGGAAAATCCATGTTTTTAACTGCAGTGTTCACCTAAATCCTTCTGTAAAGTTTTAATTTGCTGCTCATTTTTTCGGACCAAATTGTTGCACCAAAATGTTTTATTTTTATGTTTCCAAGCCATGGTAGGATGGAGCAAGAGAAGAGTGGATTGGAGCTTAATTTGCAGTGAAAAGTGAATTGTTCAGATCACAAGATGCTGGATGCAAGCACCTCTCAGCTTTAAAGATGTGGCAAGGTGCTCCATCATACAGGATCTAGGTGAAGTGGTTTCTGGCATGTGGATACCTCTAGGTCACCTCCCTTTGGAGGTCTCCCAGAGATTTCTCATTGGGAGGAGATCCAGGGACAGCCAGCCCCTGAACTCTTGGAAGGAATACATATATCTGGCCTGGGAATGCATCAGAACCCCTAAGGAGGAAGAGAGAGAGAGAGAGAGAGAGAGAGAGAGAGAGAGAGAGAGAGAGAGAGAGAGGAGAGAGAGAGAGAGAGAGAGAGAGAGAGAGGAGAGAGAGAGAGAGAGATGAGAGAGAGAGAGAGAGAGAGAGAGAGAGAGAGAGAGGAGAGAGAGGGAGAGAGAGAGAGAGAGAGAGAGAGAGAGAGAGAGAGAGAGAGAGAGAGGTGGCTTTCTCCCTCCAGGACCAGACCTCAGAAAACTAAAGGAATGGATGGATGTCTCTAAATAATATTTTGTGCTAATATATGATGCAAATCTATAATAAAACATTTGATTTCATACATATTGCAGTACCATGTCAGGGGTGGGCACGGAAGGGGGGTGGGGGGGTGGGGGGTTTGCAATTGTATAATTGTGACAATTGTGACCACAAGAAAAACAGCCACTTGTACATTCTCTCTCTCTCTCTCTCTCTCTCTCTCTCTCTCTCTCTCTCTCTCTCTCTCTCTCTCTCTCTCTCTCTCTCTCTCTCTCTCTCACTTGTGTGCTTTTAATTTTACCAACTGACATCTTCAGTCCTCACCTTACTCCTTTGTAAATCATTCAAGATTTATTCAACAAAATCTGTTGAACAAAGACAGATTATCTCTTTAACGTCCCACGAGCTGATGGAAATCACAATAAGTTCAATTTCCAACCCCCACTCCACCCCACTCTGCTGACTTATGTGTAAACGATAGTCAAAACAGGATGATGCCAAGCAAAAGGGTAAGAATGGCTGATGGTGATGATGATGATGATGATGGAGAAGGGTGACAAAAACAGAGGTATGTTTGGTAAACTAAAATCTTTTGTCCACTAGAGGGCGCAAATGAGTCCATCCAACTCCTATTGTCTGGCTTTGTTTGTATAAGGCAGATGGGGCAGGGGGAAGGGGGCTGTGGGGTGAATGGGTTCTTGCTTTTAATAAATGGGATTAAATGCTATAATTTGGGTGGGTGGGTGGTGGTGGTGGTGGTGGTGGTGGTGGGGGGGGGGGGTACTGGAGGGTATAAATGAAAAGAGTGGGACACAGAGACAATGAAATCCCAAAGCTGGCCACACATTTACTGCAGGAATAAATGTTGACAGGTGGCGCCAGATTTAGGCTGGTGCATCCTTCATTTTCCTGTGTGGCACATAACTCTGAGTATAGAATCTTTAACTTGGGTACCTTTTTGTTAAAATAATTATGCAACTTAGAAATCAGAAGCTGAGAATAAAGCCTTGTTCACAAAGTGTAGAACGAATGTGGTCCTGTTTCCATACGGCTTCTGGACGGACTTTCATTCACACCGATATGCTGAACATCTCCATGAATCTGATCCCACATGAAAACTAAATGATCAGAATGTTGACGTAATGCAATACAAGATACACCTGCAGAAACTGATATACCTGTCATTGAAGGAAGACGGGCAGATTAATGCAACACAAATTTTATTTTGAAATACACCAGCTGCACCTTGCTTCCACACGTCTGACTTCCTGTCTGGCTCATGTAATTTCTTCAGCTTCATGACGATCTGCATGCCCGGAAACGATAGAAACATCGCAGAAGTATTTTGCAGCTCTGCATCTGGATCTGCACCACAGCCGGTGTAAAGTGCTCCGATTGGGCTCAGTGATTTTTAGTCTTGACGGAAGCTGCAAGTTCTGCACTTTAGCCTTCAAAGAAGCTTACCAGTGTTGTAGATCATGAAAAACATCTCCAACGTGTACACATTCTCTAATAAATGAAATTATAAATGACCTGCACTTGTATAGCGCCTCTCAGAGTAAGGACTCCAAAGCGCTTTACACTACAGTGTATCATTCATCCATTCACACGCTCATTCACACGCTGGTGGGGATGAGCTACGATGTAGCCACAGCTGCCCTGGGGTGCACTGACAGAGGCGAGGCTGCCGAGCACAGACGCCACCGGTCCCTCTGACCACCACCAGCAGGCAAGGTGGGTTAAGTGTCTTGCCCAAGGACACAACAGCAGCAATCTCTGTCCGGAGCCGGGATCAAACCTGCAATCTTCCGATTACTGGACAACCCGCTCAACCTGTTGAGCTACTGCTGCCCCTAATAAACATTGGTTCCTTCCTCAAGTTCACCTCAGGAAAAGGTGTAGGTGGTGTGGATGGTGACTATGAAAAACTGCAACTTAGAAAAAAGGCGAAAAGGAAGAAATTATATTAAATTGCACTTTTATATTTTTTAATATCAAGAAAATGGGAAATACAATAACAGGTAAACAAAGGCAGGTGATGTAAACTATTAAACAGCCATCTGTAGAGAGAAATGCATGAGTAAAATTGATCGTAAACTGTGTTGCTGCAGACAGACATGTGAATTTTTATTACAAAGGACCACTCTGTTGCATTGTTTTATTTTGAAAGTCAAAAGCAGATGGCCCTGTGGTTAGAGAAGGAGCATCAGTGCTGTTAATCTGTCTGCACGCAGTCAGTCAAAACAATGACAATCCAACCAGGAGGTCTCCATGTTAATCTCATCTAGCCTGAATGCTGTGAATATTATGGACATGTGAGACTAAAGACTGACTAACTGACTGCAACACAAGCTGCTAAGAGACTTATCTAGAAGAAGTGGAGCATTGACTGTGTTCAGTGCATTACAATGCAAAGTTTCATGGAATCATCTGTGGGTACGTCTTGACTTTTTTTTTAAATTTGCCTCGTGCCAAGTAATAAAAACTGAAAATTTCCAAGTCAAAGTCCTAAATCTATTTAATTTACCTAGCAAACTTACATGGTGGTGCACTGGAGCCTTTCCCAGAGGCCAACATGCAGGAGGCAGGTAAATTTAGAACCGCCAACTAACTTAACGTGGATGCTTTTGGATTGTGGGAAGGAACCGGAGTAGCTGAAGAAATCCATGCAAACTGACATAGAAAGGATGCAACTGAGACTTGAACCAAAGACAACAGTGCTAACTACGGCTCCACTATGCAGCCCTTATTAAAAGTTATTTTGATCAAAACTCATAATTGCACTTGGCCTTGCAATCTTCTACTCAGGAAAACTCACTGGCCTGCATTTACACCAAAATAGTTTCAACAACCCTGATTCAGAGGATCAAACTCACCAACTGCAGGGAGGTGAGGTGTCGTTTCCACCACAAGTGTTTACTCAGCCCCAGGGCTACCAGCCCATAATACAGATACGAAAGCTGCAGACAAACAACAATCTATATTATCTGAAATATTATACATGTTAATGTGTGTTTTGGTAAAGTCCTACAATCTATTAGACTAGTTTGATGGACTCCCATTGGCCCCCAGCCACATATTTAACTCCAGCCCACCAGTTATTGTTGCATGGTGGTACACATGAAGGAACGTCAGCTGACCATTCTTCTTACTCAGAATGAAAAATATCTGCAGAAAGCAAATAAAATTCATGCACACACGAACCCAATCTCAATTTTAGATACTTTACATTCCCATTTCTATTTCTGAAAGTGCAGAAATGCTAACGCTCTTTCTACAATAGTCTTTGTAAAACTTTTGTAGAAAATCCCTTAAAGTATTTGGTTAAAACTCCATGTATTGTTTGAAAATACACCAAATTAATTTGGCTGATTATATGAATAATGGCTTCTGTAATCAATATTGGCTGTAAAATACATAAAATGTAATGAAGCTGCTAAAGTCAACAGATACAGCACGACCCATTCACAAAGAGAACACAGAGCATGAAAATGTAAAAAATATTAAGTGAACATGAAAAGCTGGATTCCATAAAATAAAATCTAGACCTGTTTTACAGATTTGTTGCATTTTAAAAGTGGCCTGAGGGGGTCACTGTTTCCCTCCTTTACATGTGTAACACAGATGAGCTCCTATGAACTATTTGTAGGAAGTGCTTCATCTGCTGGATTAAAATATATATATTAAAAGGCTTAAGGAGTTCAGATGCTCAAACAAACAAAACTCTTCCTCTTAAAGTGACAATGTGTAGTTTTTACTAGGTATGTTGTGATCCGATCACATGATCGGAAATCAGCCGCGATCACGTGGTTTCAGACTGATCGGGACTCGGGCTTTACTTCCCGATCCGGACTCGGATACTGGGTTCAAATTACAGGAGAGCAACTTGGTTCTCCTTAAAGGTTGTCAGGCTCCCCTGATGCCCTTGACTTACACACCCAGAAAGAGCACAAAAAAGATCAAGTTTCTACTTTTATTATATCATTTATATGGACTCAGAGCAGCGGGAATTCTTTTGAGCAGAGCAGCAGGCAGACCGCTGATTATTCATGAACTCCATCTGCGTTCTGCACACGGCCACAGTAACATTTTCTAATTTTCTAAGTGGCGTCATCAAAAATATACAATTAACACACAGTCATTCATGTCCATTTATTTTCTCTCTGGTAAGTTCTGTCTGTATTTGAGCATGACGTGTGGACGCGCTCGCGCTGCAGCGCTCGTCACTGGCACAGCCGGGCAGCGCGGCGCACACTCCGCTTTTTTTGCGGTCAATAGATCAATTTGATCTGCTGGTTTAAAAGTTACTATTGAGGTGAAAAAGAAGGAAGCAGGCAGGAGTTTTTTCTGGAGGACTGGGAGATGCAGGAAGATCAGAGACAGACGGGACAGGAAGATGGGAAAATAAAAACCAAGAAAACAAAACAAAGTTCTTAACAAAATAAAATGTAGGTAGATTGATCCCACTACACGTTTGTACCTGTATAAAGCAATAATTTATCAGCATGTAGTATTTATATAGTTGGTGCAATTCAGATCATCTTCAAAACTCCGTCCCATGCCCAGGGACGTATCTAAGCATTTTGGGGGCCGAGGCAAAATAGACCCCTGCCAGGTGTTTTAAGTTGAAGTGCTATCTGTTTTTATATTAGACTTTTTATATTTGCAATAAAGTCCAAAAGTGAAGAATTTATGTTATTTAGTACTTGATTGTTCAAGCTACCTCACAGAAGTGATCTGTTGTTAAAAATTAAAATAAAAAGGCAATTAAATAAAAAATAAGGAACATTCTGGAACTGTTTCTTCCTCTTTTTTTTATGTATTGAAAGTATCAGATCAGGACTCGGTATCGGCAGATTCTCAAAATCAAATGACTTGGACTTGGACTCGAGGGCAAAAAAACCTGATCGGGACATCCCTAGTTTTTACCATTAATTTCTGGAAACATCCATCAAAATGTTGTTGAAAATGAATGAAATGATTCTCAGTTGTTGAAAAATATTGGCAGCTTCATAACATATAACCATAAATAGGTCTAAAATACACGGGAGCGGGTCTAAGTCTCTTGGCGACACCATATTAGATGCCACGTTTCCTTCTACGGGAGCTTGTGAGGACAAAATGCATTTACTGATTTGTAACAAACGCTTACAAAACTTTTGCCATTCTTAAATGTTGTTTTACACATTTACCTCTTCACTTGTTTCCAGTGATGAAAGGGAGTCTGATGTGCTTGTCTTGTTATTTTGCTAAAGTTTGCACTCCCCAGGGCTTTAAGACCCTAATGGGCACCCGTTGGTAACGTCTTACTTCAACACAAAAATACTGCTTGCTTGCAACGATTTAGAAATCTACTGCCACCTATTGGCAGGAAAAGTACACACTGTCACCTTAATGATCATGTACTCACAGTGTCACTGAGTTCAACGACTTTGGAGAGGTAGAACCACCAGCACACTCTGGCCATCTGTCCCACACAGAAACATACAACTAACCCATGTCTTGTGCTTTACACACACTCAAAAATAACACTTTGGTCATTTATTAATCAGCAAATTTTGAATAGATTGGTGCAAAATGGCATCTGTGAATCTAAATCTACAAATCTCATCGGTGCTGAATTTAAATTTCAGACATGAATCTTACAAAGAAATTGTTGCATAAAGAATAATACAGAGAATAAAGGATATTTACCCTCATGGCCAGTGGGCTGTCGCTGTAGTCGACAGGTTGGAAAAGTAAACTGTATCTGGACAGCCAAGAAGAGGCTGTGAACTGGAAATGCAAATAGCTATTTTAGTCATGATTTGGTTTTATGCTATTTCTTTTTTATTGATTTATGTTTTGCTTTGTTGACAAATTCAAATGATTCAAATAAAAATAACATGAAAAAATGTTAAATACAGTTTTATAAATGATGATTTATTTCATAGAGGGGGAAACAGCTATCTGAGCCAACCTGGCCAAGGATCATCTTTGTCACAACACAGTGTTACCTCTCCATGAATTCTAATATTAGAAACCTCCAGTATAAATATTCAGTTCATGTTTTTGCAGCCTACTACTTTAACTAAAGTTTTCTGTCACTGTGCAGAAGTCACCTCGTAGAACATGTAGGCAGACAGGCAGACCATGGTAAAGTTGTAAACAATCAGGACAGGCTTGAGGTTGAACGGCTACCTCTTCAAATTCAAATTCAAATTCAAAGAAACTTTATTAATCCCAGAGGGAAATTAGAGTTTCAGTACACACAATTCTGAGATCAGACATACATACATAGGCATAGACACATGACAAGAATTGGTGACTGTGGTCATTCGCAACCCGAGTTGCGCTACCTTAATAAAGATTAGAGGGTTTATTTGTTAGGATTGAGTCAGGTGGAGGGAAAAAGGCACTTCAGAGTTACCCTCCACAGGGAGGGCAGCTTTGCTATGCAAAAAACACCTCAGACAGAAATGCAACAGACTTCAGACATTACACAACATAAGTGTCCAATAGGTGTGGAGGTAGGGTAGAGGACTCTCCAAACATCAGTGCATGCCGCCGCGATAAGCAGCGCTCGTAACCTCCATTTGGACAGGGCAGGGAGGTAGTTGGGTTTAGAGAGCGCAGTGACTCCTGGAAACGATTCAACGGCCTTCATCGGCCGCAGTCCCGCCCAGGCTGGGATAGGGAGACAGAGTTGCCATGGCGACGGCAACATTCCACATTTCTTCTGAGGGGAAGTAATCACTTCAGCCTCACAGGCTCAAGGGCACCAGATTCAGATAAGAACTTGTTTTGGGGCCAGACAGAGATAATTTCCTCTCTGTCTTAAAGTTCTGTTGGTCCTCAACCCCTTTAAATCCAATAATGGCGTAATTAATCTATTCTAGTCCGTGCTGATCCATCCATTTTCTCCTTGATCGAATCCACCTTCTGTGCCAGAGTCTGAATCTCAGCCAAAGTTCCAAGCTTACGACTCATCTCGACAATTATATGAGTTTGTGCATTCACAGCACGGTGTAATCCATCCCTGAGCTCCGGGATTGAGCCAATATTCCTCGACAGCTCATTAATTTTCCGGTAAGCCAGGTAACCGCTCAGACCAAACAACAAACCTGACACCAACACCACGAATATCCAGACGTCTTCAGAATCCTCTACAGACAGTTGAGAGAGGCAGATCAGGTTCCATGTTTCCAGGAGTCCATGATATGCCCAGCTGGCTCTATCCCAGAGGGGCATCTGGGAGCCCGTTCTCATCATTGAAAAAACTTTGTCAATCCTGCTGAGAGACCAACTGACCAGGTCCATTTTTAATAATTTCCAGTATACAGAAAAAATGCAGAAGCGCCGTACACCCAAAGACAGACAAAGAGCCTTGGGATAAGGTAGAGAGGAGAGGAGGAAAAAAGTGTCTGTACTCTCCAAGAGCCGGAAGAAGCCATGAGCCATGAGCTTTGGCCCCACACATATAATGATCAGGTAGCAAAGGAGCATACAGGTAATCGGCACTGGGGAGTAGACCAGCGGCCACTCATCCGTCCTTTTGTCTCAAGGAAAATGGGACAACAGGTAAAGCTGCATTACAGACCACACTGGTGTTTGGAAAATGTATGCAAAGTTAGATAGTTGTCATACAGGGCTAAACAAACCAATGAGCTTGAAGAATAAACCTCAGCCCCCGCTCTCCAGAATACCTCGGTAGAATAATTGGACTTTCTGCCACACGGTGACAGCGTTGTTACCCTGAGATGGAAACACATGGGCAGAATAACCTATCCTTGACTCATGAGTGCAAAATCAGGAACAGAGTTGTTTTTTCATAGTTTGAGAAGATTTTTCAACTTTCAAGTTGAAAAACTCATGCATTCGATACAATTATATTTATGTCTTTATTTTCCTAAAAAATACGTTCCCTCTCAACCATCATGTCACACGTTTATTCTGTTACAAAAGGTTATTAACAAGTGAATTAAACCAAAACAGGCTAACAACTAGCGAAAAGGCCAGCAAGTGTAAACACTAAGTTTTTCATCAGTTTGTTACAACACAATTAGCTAATGAACTCTTAGAGAAACTAAAAGTTCTTTAAACAAACTTCCAGAAATTACAGGTGAAAATCAAGTTCTATAGTTAGCTTTCAATGTTTTATTGAGAAAAAAGAAGTGTTTTACGACACGTGTGCTTTACAGGTGAAGCTCAGTAAATTAGAATGTGGTGCAAAAGTTCATTTATTTCAGTAATTCACGTTAAAGTTGAAATTAATATGTGGGATGGACTGGATACATGCAAAACCAGGTCTAAGCCTTTAATTGTTATAACTGTGGTGATCATGGCGTACAGCTTATGAAAACCACACATTCAAATCTCAGACAATTAGAATATTGTGAAAAGGATCAATACTCTACTCAAAGTGTCACATTCTAATCAGCTAATGAATTCAAAACATCTGCAAAGGGTTTCTGAGCCTTTAGTTGGTCTTGCAGTCTAAAGCAAATTATTGACATAATCTTGCACCATGATTCTCATTTTTCATGCTCCACCTGTATATACAGCAATGTAATGAAATCCCACCCCAACACAATTAATTTAAATTACATTAAACATATAAAATAGATGAATAAAATTAACAATAAGGCAGAAAATAGATAATTATATATGAAATATTTCTTGTGTCTTTGTAGATGTTGGTGAAAAAATGGTCAGGAAAGGCCTCCAAGCCTGATAAAACGTCTTTTCAGATTATGACTTGTTTAAATGTTAGATTGGAGTAACATATCTTTAATCCATTCAGATACTGTGGGTGAGGTAGACTCCATCCATGTGCAAACTACGTAGAGAAGGCAATGAGCGCCTGACTAGCTGTAATGCCAACCCTACTAAACTGACCCCTACAATGTAATCCTGTACAGTCACTAGCTGGACTCAAGTACTCTAATTGGGGTCATCAAGCACCAAAGAAGGTCGTGAGATGATCTTCAGAATCCAATTTTTTATATTAAACTTAAAACAAAATGAATATCTGAACCCGCTTGTCCATGCAGGTTCGCGGGTGGCCTATCTCCAGCAGTCAACGGGCAAACAGGCAAAGTACACCGTGGACAGATTGCCAGTCCATCAGGACAAACAGCCAAGAACACACACACACACACACACACACACACACACACACACACACACACACACACACACACACACACACATATAAATGTGTGTGTGTGTATACATATGTACATCAGTGGTTCCTAGCTTATCTTCTAGCCCCTAAAAGAACAACACACACACACAGGCTTACAATGGCATTGTGACATCATATGGTACCAGCGGTCTAGGGTACCTCTTAGCCAATAGCGATGGCAGATTTAAATTCAAATGCAGTGCAGACTTTTTACCTGACAACGGAGCAACACCGACACTTTTAGGCAGAAAATAAAAAATGCACTAAAATGCAAAACTATTGACTACACGTCTGCGGCACGATTAGTCACGCATTTATTTAGTTTATCAGAAAAAAAGTTGATTTGGGGGTGACTTGCTCTTTTAATGGTTGATTGATTTTTTTTTATGTATTTGCAGTTGAGAATGTCTCACCGAGCATGTGTCAACATTTGGTAAAAACAAAGTAGAGCAGCATATGTTCATAAATTTACCAAAGAACAACACACCACTGCAAATTTGATTAAGTCATCCAGTGATGATCTGGATTATAATTCAAGGATTATGTTCACTAATCCAAATGTATCTCTGGATAATGGATAATAACTAATAATCCTCTCAGAATGGCTGAGAACATTTTAACTAGCCTACGTGTAACAGTGCTGCCATCTAGTGTCTGAGAATAGATGTGCTTTTTGTGTCGAACAACAGAAAACGCTGAATTTGGGACATAATCAGAAATGAATAATTTTATATTAACAAAATTATGATAAATAGGTGCAACGTTAACTTTTTTATTTAATAAATCATGCATAATTGTTCTGAGAAATATTTTATCCTGTTGCCTCAAAGTAAAATGAGCCCCAAATCACCCCACAGTTTGTTTTTACAGTTTACTTTTGTCCCTGCTAAAGGTAAGTGAAGGCACCATTCAGCGTTCAGCCTAAAGCAACATGCTATTCAGACAAGGCTGAGTAGTAAACCTCACCTGCCGCTTCAACAAGGATTTACGGAAAAATCTCCGACAGAATTCTGCAACCTTCTGCATCGTAATACTAGATTATAACTCAGAAGAAAGTAAAAAAACAGAAACTGTTTAACAGATTCTCCTGCCTCTCAATCGCCAGGCTTGGTCATCCCCCCAACTCCCCTCACCCCACACCAGACCAAGTGGATATTCCTAATGGATGGATGAGTAGATTATTGTTTAAGCATCAATAGCCTAAATAAAATACTAAATAGAGGAGGTCTACCTATAAAAACAGCTGGTTATAATGAATCACATTTAAGCTGCACGATTAATAAAAAAATACAATTTTACAGTCATTCTGATGATGTGACGTAGAGAATTTTAATCTTTTCCCTGTCTGCTGTCAAGGCATGCTGCATCATGTAAGCAGGTTTAAGGTAATCGGCCTATTTGACTGTGAAGAAGAAGAAGAAAATATCATTTCTATAGCGCCTCTCAAGATAAAAATCACGAGGCGCTTCACAAAAACAAAAAATGTAAAAATATAACAAAGCATTTAGAAAATGTTAAAAAATATATTTAAAATGAGCAAAAATAGACAAGGTGCGCAAGGTGTGCACGTGCTTGTGTGTGTTTGTTTAGTTTGACTGACAGCTTACTAGCTATGCCCCACACTAAATGTGTTATTTAGGGCATAAAAGGACACAAAGGGCATATAAAACAGAAATATCAGTTTATACTAATGAACATACAATGTTATGTTATTTATGGTTGGGTCATAGAGATGACATCCAGGTAAGAAAGAAACATAAATAATCCTCCAGCTCCAGGATCTTGTTGTTTGAGTGCTCACTACTGAAGATAAAGCCCCAACCTGGTGGTCCATCCCTCACTCCATCCTACCATCACTTGTAAACAAGACACCAAACTCTTCTTAAGAAAGACACTCCTAACTCAGAGAGAGCTATCCACCATTTTCCACCAGAAGAAAAGTAATAAATACACAAATGTCAGAATTACATCATTTTTATTTTTTTTTTTTCACTTTTCATACGTAAGGAAGCTGCATTTTACAAGTGTAAATCCAGTTATTGGAAACAACATAAACACATTCTCTCTCACAATGAACTGAAGTTTAAACATTATAAAGATGTGAAGCCAACAAGCATTTTTATGAATCCGTGTATTAATGCTTAAACATCCCTCTGATCATTAGTGAACCAGGATGACAATAAAACAGGAATCTGAGTGAGACCAGCTGAGCAGCGTTACACACCATGGCTTCGTGTCTGGCATTAGTAGCCCTCCGTCCCATCTGCCTAACTAACCACACATCCATCCACAGCCTCCTGCAGGCAGGTTTCACGCTGTGGACTTCATTTATGGTAGAAGATTAGGGGACTTGGGTACTTTCTCCAAACAGAGGAGTATGGTGTGGGAAAGCTGACTAGCTGGCACCAGTCACACCGCTGTGGATTCATCCAGCTAAAAACTAAAAGTCAATTTGATCAATACAATTGACTGATTATATTACTCATGTGGTTCATGTTCAAAATGAAACCCACCATTGTGATGGCTGCGGTTCCGAGGACTTGCTGGTGTTTTGATATGAAATGTTGGAGAATGACTTTGAGGATCAGTTTCGATTCCGTGTCGCGGGTGATGCACATGGGTGTCAGGTTTAGCGGTGGGCGGGGCGTCTCCCTCGTCTATTTTATCTGTAGGGTTTATACGAGGTGATGGGGAATAGGGAGACTGTGGAAGACAAGAACATGGAAACGTTAGAGATAACCGAGCTAAAAGTGGCTCAGACGTTCCGTTCAGTTAGGAACAAGTTTATTATTACTAAACTGATTTGAATCACATAGTAAACATGAACAACATCCAACACACACGCATTTAATACTGCAGGAAAATCATTTACAATGTGGACTCTGGTTATTCAGAACTGTGTGTGTGTGTGTGTGTGTGTGTGTGTGTGTGTGTGTGTGTGTGTGTGTGTGTGTGTGTGTGTGTGTGTGTGTGTGTGTGTGTGTGTGTGTGTGTGTGTCGCCCTGAAGTCATCACTCACAGAGCAATTGCAGATGTTGTTCTGATAAGTGGCTCTGATTGCAGCCTCGACGAACGGCTGATGCAGGAAACTGTAAGGTAGGACAATGTGGAAGGTGAGGAGGCCGCACCTACAGAACAGAGGGAAGATGAACTAAACTGGAATCCCTGCAGCAACTGGTGGTAATATTCCTGATTCTAAAGTTCAGACTTCAGTAATCCTGCTGGGCTTACGCATCGTAGATCAGAAAGTCATCTTTGTCTCCGTCCAGAGCCTCCCACACATCATTTTGAGAAAGGGACTGCTGAAACACAGGAACTCCAGGGGGTGCTCTTTTCTTCAGGTCCCAATACCTGGCTCTGGAACTATTCTGCTGTTCATTCACTATCATGAAGGACACTCCTGTTATGTTGGCGCTTCTCAGTTTTTCACGCAGTTTTCCAATTCTAAAAGTTAGTACAACAAAGAAAAAAAGAGACAGCGTTGAAAGAAAATCGGTTAGTCCTCTGGGTACAGGTTGGGACCACTCCTAGCGTGCTAACTTTTAGCTGACAGTGTGTAAACCTCAATAAGTTACAGCAAGTTTTGTATTTGCTTATGCTGAACAGCTGTAGCAGCCATCTTGAACTGGACCGACTTCATAGCCAATCAGCTGTAGAAACTGTCCTACACTACAGAGATAAACACACACAGAGACAGGCAAAAACATTATCAAACATCTGTAGCTTTACGAGCGATATGAAGTAAAACGCTCAGAAGATACGTTTCCCCAGTACTGCTACATGAAGAGTTGTGTTGCAATTATTGCCTATTGCATATTGCCTTGCAAATATCAAGCCTATGCTGTCGAGAGCCCACCTGGAGCGGGTACTGCATGCCTTTGTAATTTCTAGGCTTGATTACTGCAACTCTCTTTATTCAGGGTTGTGTCAGTCATCACTGCATCGCCTACAGGTTGTGCAGAACAGTGGAGCCAGGTTCCTGAATGGGACCAGTAAACGGGACCACATCAGTCCGGTTCTGGCCTCCCTGCACTGGCTTCCGGTTTGCTATCTTGCACAATTCAAAATCCTCGTCTTTGTTTATCATTTCTTCCAGGGTGGTGCTCCCCCCATCTAGCCACTCTCCTGAACAAACATTCCCCATCACGCGCTCTGCGCTCCTCTGACCAAGGCCTGCTCGCTGTCCCTCGTTCTAGGTGTTGTACTCGTGGGGACCGGGCTTTCTCAGTCCTAGCACCGTCTCTCTGGAACCAGTTGCCACCCTCAGTTAGGCTGTCCCCATCTCTGCCAGCCTTTAAGAGTCGCCTAAAAACACACCTTCTCCGCTTGGCGTTTCCTGAGCATGTTTGATTCGGCCCTCTTTTACGTTGAATTTCCTTCACAGTTTTCATTGGTTCACTCTATCCCTTGTTTTACCCATCTGTCCTGTACTAGAATGTTTCACCTTTTTTTGTAATTTGTATTTTGTAATTTCAATTCAATTCAATTAAAATTTGAATTGCTTTTATTTTTTATTTATTCACTATATTTGTACTTCTACTGTACCATGTTCAGCGCCTTGGGCTTCCTGACAGGGTTGCGGAAGGCGCTTTATAAATAAAGCTTTGATTGATTGATTGATTGATTGAATTACGTAGTCTCTACAGAGGGTGCTGTAGAGTGTTTCGGGTGATGTTGCAGTTGGCCTAACATCTTTTAACCTTACATAAATCATCTTTGTGCTTGAAAGAACAAATGAAGTTGCAAAATCAGTAAGAGTGAATGCATCTCAGGTTTGTTGAAAAAACTTACCTAAGCAGAAATATAACTTAATTTGTGGGATGTGAAGTTAAATCTTTCTTTTTTGTTTTTTATGTAACGTGACGAAGGAGCTGTTTCCACCGAGGACGATACGTGGGTGGAGAAGGACTCTGAGGCACACTTGACCTGCTCTTTAACCTCTTTCCACAGTTGCCTCTGACACAGTGCCAGAGTGCATGCAACAGCCTCAAGGTCATGCATTTGCTTCTAAACTGTTTACTTTCCAGCAAAAGAAGAAAGAAGATTAAAAGACTCTTTTCTTTTATTAAATCAACGAACTCTATTTTTTAAAAAGCTAATCAAAACAACTGTTAGTCAATAATACAATGTGACCGATCTGTGAAATCACCACGTTATGATTAATATGTTTTAATAAGTAATATGACTTAATCTAGTTCACTAGACACACTGACACACATTAAGGTAAACAATCACATGAAACATTGCTGTACTGATCCAATCAGAACCTTCCTAGTCTGAAGCGTGGCCGAGTCTCTGTGGTGTTTATAAATCTGCCAACTTTGATTCGTCCAGAATTCAAAACATCCAGATTAATAAAACCAGTTCCAACGCCATCACCGCATGCTAAGCGGAGTAACTGGACCGGCCATCCGAACTTCTCTTTATAAGCTGAGAACCATCAAGCTGGAAAAATCTGTTGTTTTTACCAACCAAGCAACGGCTCCTTTCAGAATAAAAGCTGAACTCGCTGACCCAAGGAGGGTCCCCTTTTGACGCTGTGAACCACCTGTCGCTTTTACCTGGAGACAATCCAAGGACTAGTTTGGCGTGCTGTGACGCTGTACCACTGGCTCCAGTACCAAAAGGAGGGTCCGTGGACCTGGCATTCTGGATCCATCGCTGGAGGTCTCACTGAGGGTATGTGTGGATGTGACAATATGGCGTCTCATGTGTTTATGAATACTCCGATCAAACTCTGATCAGTTAGGAGCAAAACGTCATCCCACTCAGACTTGCCTCTCCGGACACGAGAGTTCTGATAATAACACGACTCACACACACCATCCATCTCACACCTCATTCAAACAGAACATCCATCATTAGAGTTAGTATTGTTTAATTGTTTTAAATTATTTAGTAATAAATCATCTTAAACATTTGAAGGTCTCTCCCTTCTCTTGTCTCTCAGTTAATACAACGTGTCATCTAATCCCTGCATTAAAAAGTTCCAATCTTCTGATTAAATAACCCAGTGGTCCGTAAGATTGACCCCATACTCGATATGGGATCCTAACGTCTCACGGTCCTTAATTAAATGTAAATTACTATCATTACATTTAAATACAAACACAAGGTGGCCTAAGGATCAGGTCTCTGCTCTTTGCAGATGATGTGGTCCTGTTGGCTTAATCAGAACATGATCTCTGGCTTTCGCTTGAGCGGTTCACAGCCGAGTGTGAAGCAGCCAGAATGAGAATCAGCTCCTCTAAATTCCAGACCATGGTCTTGAGTCTGAGAAGGATAGAATACCTCCTCCAGGTCAGGGTCAAGGTCCTGACACGAGCGGAGGAATTTAAGTATCTGGGGTCTTGTTTATGAGTGAGGGAAGAATGGAGCGCAAGATTGATAGAAGGATTGGTGCTGCGTCTAATGATGCGGGCGTTGTGGTAAAGACGGAAGGCAAAGTTCTCGATTTCCCGGTCGATCTACGTTCCTACCCTCACCTATGGTCACGAGCTTTGGGTAGTGACTGAAAGAACGGAATTGCAGATACAAGCGGGTGAAATGAGCTTTCTCCGCAGAGTGGTTGGGCTCTCCCTTAGATATAGGGTGAGAAACTCGGCCATCCGGGAGGGGCTCAGAGTAGACCCGCTGCTCCTCCACATCAAGAGGAGCAAGTTAATGTGGCTCGGGCATCTATAGGATGCCTCCTGGACGCCTCCCTGGTGAGGTTTTCCGGGCATGTTCAACCAGGAGGAGATCTAAGGGAGGACCCAGGACACACTGGAGGGACTATTTCTCTCGGCTGGCCAGGGAACACCTTGGGATTCCAAGTGGCTGGGGACAGGGAAGTGTGGGCCTCTCTGCTGCCCCCGCAACCCAAACCCCGGATAAGAAAATAGATGTAAAAAATCTTTGTGCTATGTAATAAATTAAATAAATTCATAATGCATTGATCTCTTACTTGGAAGCCTGGGTGAGACAGAAATGTCAGCTGGCTTTGAGAAGAGCCACCACAGCCACGTTTCCCTGCACCCTATCCATCGGCACTTGTCCCTTTATCTCCCAGCGAGGTGCAGCGTTGCAGATCCTGGAGGCATTTTTGTCTCCCTCCACCAAGAGAGAGGAATGTGATGCCCACAGCAGCCCTGGTAGAGCAGCAGACAGCCACAGCGTGGCTAGAGAGTGCATCGTGACTCCTTGTTGACCTGAAAACAAAGATGTGCATATTAAACAGAACATTTGATCAGCAGTTTTCTTTTCAAACAAACACTTTGTTGTCTCTGTCATCACAAGTGGAAATGATCAGCAAAACAAGGGTTTATTATGGGGGACACAGCCGCCAGACAGAGGAATGTCCAGAACAAACCCTCTCAGTGCTGAGACAAAGGAAGGATGGGACAGATTAGTTTACAGCCATGTCTGAGCTGACACAGTCGAAATCAGTAATCATTTTGATAATTGTTGCCGTTTTTGTTGTTTTCTTTTCAACATAATACTTTGTTTTCATATTACAGATGTGATTGCAACCGGGACACTGCTCCAGTTACTGTGAAAAGTTCTCTTTACAGTTCGGTCTGCAGTAAAATACAGAATGAATGAAATGAAATTTTCAAAGAGTACATTCTAAACGCCACTGCGTATGAAGAAACGACTGACTACAAACGTTTTCTTCAGAAGGAAAAAAGTACATGTAGGTTTAAAAACCAGTTCAGGTCAAACAGAAGCTCTTACCTTTGTCCACCCGCTGTCCTCTGATCCACACGGAAAACATGTTGTTTTTAAAACGTCTGAGGTCGATCGAGCACTTCCCCCAAATTAAACAGAGAGGGGGGAGGGTTCTGTGACAAAGGACTCAGATTTCGGTAAATAACCACTTCTACTTACTGTAAATTACACCAAATACTCTTTTGATATACATTTTAAATGAGGGAATCAAAGTGTGTGGTCATGTTATTATTTGATTAAAAAAAGTTCCAAAAGTAGAAAATACTGCAGAACTAAAAACTCTTTTGATTGTTTCTACATCAGAGAAAAGATTGTGTTGAGATCCTTCTTAAAAACCTCATGTTTGTGTACTTATACTACAACTTTCTGTGTAAACCTACAAGCACTGTTTCTATCCATCCATTCATCCATCAATGGCCCAGTCCCAATAGGTGAGTGCATAGGGAGTCCCAATCCTCAAGTGGGGAAGGTGACCACGCCCTTTTGCACCCTTGATCCACACTTCCCCAAGTCCACATCGATGAGGTCTTCGGGCAAGGTTATAACCCACAATCCATTGCTGCATGGGAATTTTGAGAAGGCAGAACAACGGCTCAAGTGTTTTTTCTGAAAATATGTATTTTCAATTGAAAGATGATTATTTAAAGATGATTAATGATATTGTTTTAGACTAAGATTCAATGTGGAAATTAATAAATGTTAAATTCTGTCAAATAATAGTTTGTTTGAAAGTTGTTAATGAAGATTATTATTTTTTTAAAGCAGCACAAACAGCAACTGGCATCTCCATCCCATCACAGTCACTGACTCAATGCTTCCTTTCCCAGTTCGGCACACTTTGTACTGAAAACTCGAAGCCTTACTGCGCACCTCCTCTAAGTGCACTTCACAGAAGGGAGTAGGGTGCAATGTGGGTAATAGGATTGGGCCATCGTTCGCATCTTCAGGGTCGGGTTGCAGGGGCAATAGCCTAAGCAGAGAAGTCCAGACTTCCCTGCCTCCAGCCAATTGGGCCAGCTCCTCCGGGGAAATTCCAAGGCATTCTCCGGCCAGCCGAGAGATATAGTCCCTTCAGAGTGTCCTGGGATTCATTTAGGTCTCCTCCTGGTTGGACATGCCTGGAAAACCTCACCAGGTAGGCGCCCAGGAGGCATCCTAACTAGATGCTAGAGCCACCTCAACTGGCTCCTCTTGATGTGGAGGAGCAGCAGATCTACTCCAAGCCCCTCCCAAATAACTGAGCTTCTCGTCCTATCTCTAAGGGAGAGCCAAGACACCCTGTGTAGAAAGCTCATTTCGGCCACTTGTATCCGTGATCTCATTTGTTCGGTCACTACCCAAAGCTCGTGACCATAGGCGAGGGTAAGAACATAGATTGACCAGTAAACCGAGAGCTTTGCCTTCCAGCTCAGCACCCCAACAGACTGATACAACACCTGCATTGCTGCAGATGCAGCACCAATCCACCTTTCAGTCTCCTGTTCCATCTTTCCCTCACTCGTGAACAAGACCCCCAAGATACATAAAACTCCTCCGCTTGAGGCAGGATCTCGTCCTGCGTGTTATAACAATACCACTGCAAGATAAATCGATGTGATTTTGTAGTTATTTGAGCCCTTTGATCAGGTCCTGGTGAGATTTAAGCAATAAAACATGCTTAAAAACAAAAAAAATTACATTTGAAAAGTTTTAACAGTAGAATTGTGATATTCAACCACATTGAGCCAACAAACAGCTCTTGTGCCAAATATAAGACGAATCTCTTTGAAGTATTTGAGTTTTAATATTCTGCACGAGCACCAGAATGTGCGTTTCTTTAAACCTGAACAGCATAAAAGACATATTGCATCACATCTAGGAAAAGGATGAGTTGGGAATACTGTCCCACAATTCCCTTCTGCAAATACATTTATTGCATAACTTTAACAAATATTTGGTCACAGTGAGAGACTTTGTGTCAAATCTCTGATAAGAAATTATTATAAAACTTCACTTTTACAACTGGTTTGTTATGACATTCATGTTTACTCATCTATTGACCCAGTTTGGGGTTATGAGCTGGGCTGCAGCACAATGTTCAGCCAGGAGGGATCTTCACTTCATTAGAGGGTTGACAAACAAACATGTGCTGGCTCCTGTAGTCCTTCTGACGTCTCCCAGTAATAAAACAAGCTTCAACACTGTGGGAGAAAGACACAGTGTTGAATGCATGAATGAAGCATGAATGAAGGTGAAATTCTGTCAGTTTCTTTTGGACATTTTAGGACGAATTCTAGTCCCATTAGTCATCATCACACACTCATGAAATTCATCTCTGCATTTGACCCATCCCCGTGGGAAGCAGTGAGCTGCAGCTGCTGTTGTGCTCGGCATCTATTTGGTGGTTTAACACCAACACCTAAATGCTGAGAGTCAAGCATTTTTAAAGTCTTTGGTATGATCCGACCGAGATTTGAACCCTGACCTCCCCGTCCTAGGGCCGATATGCTACCACTAGCCCACTGAGAAGATTAATCTTTTCATTATGAAAAGCATCCATAAATGGACAGCATAAAAGGTCAGAGCAACACTTTACAATTAGAATCCCTTTATTAACATTACTTAGTGCATTATTAAGCATTAATGAACTATTAAATAAAGTATTAACAACTGCTTACCTATATTATGTAATGCATTATTATGCAAACACTCCCCCTGGCCCTTTGTCCTAACCTTAAGGTCACTTCATTGTAAAAAATAACAATAATGCTATTTAAAGGATCTTTTGTTTATTGATGCTTAATAATGCACTAAGTAATGGTAATAAAAGACCCTTATTGTAAAGTGTTACCAAGTCACAAACTCAAAGGTTAAAACAGAAATAAGACTGAATGAATTGGTGCATTTTTGGGGGGTGTTTGCTCCTGACACGACTCTTTATTGTGATTAAACTGTGGTAAACATTTACTCACCATACAAATACCAAGTCTGCAATGTTAGTGACTTGGTCAAAGTCCATCTGGGACGAAAAGTAAACTAATCAGTGTGTGAATGGCTGCGAGCAGGTGGATTGTCAACGTCACTCATTCAATCGCATATAAGTGGGCGTTAACCCGGATGTGGACGTGGCGTTCCTCCTGGCTTGGCGTGTTGCAGCAGACCAAACTTCCACGTAAGTGCGGGTATTTTTGACTAAAACTGATTAAATAAGAACGTGTCGCCCTAACAAATGCTTGCATGTTTAGTCTATGGTCTTGCTGTGCCAAGCCTCTGCATGACATTACTTTGATTGCACCCCATGGCAAGAGGAGCAAGTTTTCACAGTGTTTGCAGTGACCGGCACCAGGTGCTCGGTGCGATTCTGGCAATGCGATGTGTGCATCTACAGCCTGACGCAAATAAAAAGTTACACCCGTCGAAGCTCTCCTCATTTCTTTTGGATGCCAAGGGGCAGCAACAGTGTTCACTCCAGCTTACATTCATGGTAGCCCTATAATAATAATAATAATAATGATGATAATAACATATAAACACCTAAAAGGTCATGTTTTATTATTTATTCTCAATCTCCAATCAGCTTGCAGGTTCTGCCACAAACCAAACTTTTCATAACAGAAGTTTTCAATACAATAAAATGCAAAAATATGTTTAAATTATGTAACTTTATTATTGATAAAACTTCTTATAGAAGAAGAATTGTACAAAAGAGATCACATCCATTTTTGTTTAAAGCCTTTTCAAGATTTATATCTGGAGACGCATCCTCAAAAAATGACTTCACCAAAACTAAAACACATGCTTTCAATAAATCCAGGTTGGGTTCAGCATCCCATAAAAACTCAAACATACCCATTTGACTTATTTATCCCAAATATTTTTATGTTTAATGGAACCAGAAGAGCTTTCAGATGAGAGACACTTCACTTCAGAACAAGCAGCAAATTCACCAAAAAACACACACTGTGCAAATTTTCCACAAAATTCGTGTTTCAAGAGCGTCACAACTCACCTGAGCAAATGCATCTATGAAACATCTCATATGGGCCATTCCCATCTGTACCGGGTCGGCCCGGGCCGGGTAGCGTAGGTTGTTTACATATCTGGGTGGCCTGGTATTTTTCCGGGCCAACCAAGGCTCATTCTCAGCCCTCTTCTCGAGGGGGTCTGCTTCAGGCCGACCAGGGCCAACACACCCACTGCTGACAGCAAATTCACACCTTCCATTAGAGCAAGCCTCTGATTGGTGGGTAGAATCAGCCCACATGGGCTTAAGGCAAGGATGTGTGGAATCAACCGGGCCAGGCTGGGGCCGACTGGGGCTACCCGGCCCGGGCCGACCCGGTACAGATGGGAATGGCCCATTTGATTGCACCCCATGGCAAGAGGAGCAAGTTTTCATGGTGTTTGCAGTGACCGGCACCAGGTGCTCGGTGCGATTCTGGGAATGATGTGTGCATCTACAGCCTGAAGCAAATAAAAAGTTACACCCGTCGAAGCTCTCCTCATTTCTTTTGGATGCCAAGGGGCAGCAACAGTGTTCACTCCAGCTTACATTCATGGTAGCCCTATAATAATAATAATAATAATGATGATAATAACATATAAACACCTAAAAGGTCATGTTTTATTATTTATTCTCAATCTCCAATCAGCTTGCAGGTTCTGCCACAAACCAAACTTTTCATAACAGAAGTTTTGAATACAATAAAATGCAAAAATACGTTTAAATTATTTAACTTTATTATTGATAAAACTTCTTATAGAAGAAGAATTGTACAAAAGAGATCACATCCATTTTTGTTTAAAGCCTTTTCAAGATTTATATCTGGAGACGCATCCTCAAAAAATGACTTCACCAAAACTAAAACACATGCTTTCAATAAATCCAGGTTGGGTTCAGCATCCCATCAAAACTCAAACATACCCATTTGACTTATTTATCCCAAATATTTTTATGTTTAATGGAACCAGAAGAGCTTTCAGATGAGAGACACTTCACTTCAGAACAAGCAGCAAATTCACCAAAAAACACACACTGTGCAAATTTTCCACAAAATTCGTGTTTCAAGAGCGTCACAACTCACCTGAGCAAATGCATCTATGAAACATCTCATATGGGCCATTCCCATCTGTACCGGGTCGGCCCGGGCCGGGTAGCGTAGGTTGTTTACATATCTGGGTGGCCTGGTATTTTTCCGGGCCAACCAAGGCTCATTCTCAGCCCTCTTCCCGAGGGGTCTGCTTCAGGTCGACCAGGGCCAACACGCCCACTGCTGACAGCAAATTCACACCTTCCATTAGAGCAAGCCTCTGATTGGTGGGTAGAATCAGCCCATTCACACCTTCCCTTAGAGCAAGCCTCTGATTGGTGGGTAGAATCAGCCCGCATGGGCTTAAGGCAAGGATGTGTGGAATCAACCGGGCCAGGCTGGGGCCGACTGGGGCTACCCGGCCCGGGCCGACCCGGTACAGATGGGAATGGCCCATTTGATTGCACCCCATGGCAAGAGGAGCAAGTTTTCATGGTGTTTGCAGTGACCGGCACCAGGTGCTCGGTGCGATTCTGGGAATGATGTGTGCATCTACAGCCTGAAGCAAATAAAAAGTTACACCCGTCGAAGCTCTCCTCATTTCTTTTGGATGCCAAGGGGCAGCAACAGTGTTCACTCCAGCTTACATTCATGGTAGCCCTATAACAATAATAATAATAATGATGATAATAACATATAAACACCTAAAAGGTCATGTTTTATTATTTATTCTCAATCTCCAATCAGCTTGCAGGTTCTGCCACAAACCAAACTTTTCATAACAGAAGTTTTCAATACAATAAAATGCAAAAATATGTTTAAATTATTTAACTTTATTATTGATAAAACTTCTTATAGAAGAAGAATTGTACAAAAGAGATCACATCCATTTTTGTTTAAAGCCTTTTCAAGATTTATATCTGGAGACGCATCCTCAAAAAATGACTTCACCAAAACTAAAACACATGCTTTCAATAAATCCAGGTTGGGTTCAGCATCCCATAAAAACTCAAACATACCCATTTGACTTATTTATCCCAAATATTTTTATGTTTAATGGAACCAGAAGAGCTTTCAGATGAGAGACACTTCACTTCAGAACAAGCAGCAAATTCACCAAAAAACACACACTGTGCAAATTTTCCACAAAATTCGTGTTTCAAGAGCGTCACAACTCACCTGAGCAAATGCATCTATGAAACATCTCATATGGGCCATTCCCATCTGTACCGGGTCGGCCCGGGCCGGGTAGCGTAGGTTGTTTACATATCTGGGTGGCCTGGTATTTTTCCGGGCCAACCAAGGCTCATTCTCAGCCCTCTTCTCGAGGGGGTCTGCTTCAGGCCGACCAGGGCCAACACACCCACTGCTGACAGCAAATTCACACCTTCCATTAGAGCAAGCCTCTGATTGGTGGGTAGAATCAGCCCATTCACACCTTCCCTTAGAGCAAGCCTCTGATTGGTGGGTAGAATCAGCCCACATGGGCTTAAGGCAAGGATGTGTGGAATCAACCGGGCCAGGCTGGGGCCGACTGGGGCTACCCGGCCCGGGCCGACCCGGTACAGATGGGAATGGCCCATTTGATTGCACCCCATGGCAAGAGGAGCAAGTTTTCATGGTGTTTGCAGTGACCGGCACCAGGTGCTCGGTGCGATTCTGGGAATGATGTGTGCATCTACAGCCTGAAGTAAATAAAAAGTTACACCCGTCGAAGCTCTCCTCATTTCTTTTGGATGCCAAGGGGCAGCAACAGTGTTCACTCCAGCTTACATTCATGGTAGCCCTATAATAATAATAATAATGATGATGATAATAACATATAAACACCTAAAAGGTCATGTTTTATTATTTATTCTCAATCTCCAATCAGCTTGCAGGTTCTGCCACAAACCAAACTTTTCATAACAGGTTTTCAATACAATAAAATGCAAAAATACGTTTAAATTATTTAACTTTATTATTGATAAAACTTCTTATAGAAGAAGAATTGTACAAAAGAGATCACATCCATTTTTGTTTAAAGCCTTTTCAAGATTTATATCTGGAGACGCATCCTCAAAAAATGACTTCACCAAAACTAAAACACATGCTTTCAATAAATCCAGGTTGGGTTCAGCATCCCATAAAAACTCAAACATACCCATTTGACTTATTTATCCCAAATATTTTTATGTTTAATGGAACCAGAAGAGCTTTCAGATGAGAGACACTTCACTTCAGAACAAGCAGCAAATTCACCAAAAAACACACACTGTGCAAATTTTCCACAAAATTCGTGTTTCAAGAGCGTCACAACTCACCTGAGCAAATGCATCTATGAAACATCTCATAGTGTGCCGAGACACATGCATGAATCTCTTTTATAAATGTTCATGCATCTAATATTTACAGCTGCAGATTAAAATCTTTACCCAGTCTGTGCTTTTTGAGAGTCACTGATTCACACGCTCTGCTGGGATCAGGACAAAACACCAATCAGTTCCTCTTCGTTGTCTCCCACATCTTCTGTTGGACTGTCACACGTCGCCATAAGTCCCAGGCCCAGCTCAGCCAGCTCCTCGCAGCTCATGTCAGTCGTCACCATGATCTTAGTCTCCAAGCGGTTACACAGAGTCCTGTAGGAGGGCAGAGGGTAGCCGATCTCTCTCAGGTACTCGTAGCCTTTGGTTCCAACAGCACAGCGGATCTTTCTGGCTTTCAGGATTGTCTCTGGTGACCAGACAGCTCGACGCGAGCGCTTGGCGAGGGACAGAGCCCTAACTTGGTCTTCGTACAGAAAGTTCTGGAGGCCCTTCTCGATCCGATCGAGCCGGTACAGACGCTTCTTCATCTCCTCAGCCTGACAAATACAGTTGGTGAAATGATTCTCTGCACGTTCGAGTCTGATCATTTTCCTTAACTGCTGCGTAATAAATGACAACTTCAACCGAGTAATTACTAAATAAACAAAAATAAAGAGATAAGACACCATGACAGCAACCCTCCTACCTCTCTTTGCAGTCTTGCAGTGTGCTGCATCTCCTGCTCTAGCTTTTTCTTGAGGAGTTGACACTGTGTGCAGTGATGCTGGTGTCCATCCGTCCTTTCTGCATCCTCCTCTTCCATCCCAGGCAGCAGGGAACGTCTGGCATAGCCATGATCCCCAAAATTGAGCTCCTTTTCCACTAAAAACACAAGAAAACATCTTCACCAGAGAGATCTACTGGTGCTTACACATTAGGTTCAGCAGGGTTGGGTACCGGACCAGAATTTGGTTTCACACCTGGGTCAGATATGCGTTTTCTGTTCTGAGGTGATTCTTTTTTTCAGACCTTTTCCTCACAGGTCTGACTGGGAGAAAGGTGACGCTACGGACTTATTGGCTGGATGAATTTCATGCCTATCGCCTCCGATTGGTGAGTAGAATAAGCCAGCGGGGGACGCTGGCCCTAACGTGTAAGCGCCATGTGCGAGACTTTCTGTTTATCACAAGTAAAAATATTAAAAAAATAAATAACTACATTTAGTGTAAAATTATAATTATATATAAATATACAGATGATGTGCAAACTTTCTGTTTCTTGTTTTGCGTTAAAGAAATCAGATTTTGGCCACAAGACATCAGAAAGACTACAGAAGCCTCCTTTAAAGGCCCCGTGTGTGAAATCCATTGAAATCATGATGAAAAATGCGACTCTTTAGCGCCGTGCAGTTCAGAGAAAGTATTGCAGCTACGATGGCTCACTCATGAGTTTGACTGTATAACCAATTTCCAACTTGTGTAGCCGAACCTACACAAAGCTTAAAACAGGCTACTCAACCACTTTACAAAAGCATTTATAATCATGACTGTTTTATCAGCCTACCGGTCCTGAAGCTGTCACGATTCACACACGGAGGAGGGGTGACATCAGCCGGGAGGTCAGGGGTTGTAAGAAATTGTGTTCCCCCGAAATATTCTGTCCCCCCGTGTCGGGAGATCACACTTCAGGCTATTTTCACAATATTTGTGATCAACTTTTACTGGAAAATGATGTAATGTAATATGCTTGTGATTTTTTTTATCTGTATTTCCTCCTAAAACAATAAAAAAGATACAGTAAAAAACATTCTTGTTCACTCTTTTGCAGCAAGCTTATTTATCATTTTTGAAAGTTACGTAAAAGATGTAATCGCACTCAGTTTAACCATCTTTTATGTGAGGTAGTTTAGTCCTCATAATGAACAAGTTCTGTGAATTTGGAAATATTTGCTCTCCACTGCCTAAGGGAAACAGAATATTTCAGGGAACATAATTTCCCACAACACCCGTTTCACGTGGATCACGGAGCCTCGATGTAAACAAACTGGCTGCCGCTACCAGCTTTTATGGATATGGAGCGATCACTGGCTGATCGTTAACCACGGCTGGTTCAGGAGTGTTCATGAGCCGGGGACATGCTGGACATTAAGTAAAATATGCTGACTTATCCACCAGCTAATCGTGGCTCATGGCTGGCGTGGTGGAGATCGGTGTCATGAGCTACCGAGCTACTAGTTAGCCATGGCTAGAGCCGGGGAGATGATGTGTATGCTGAGTGTAAACTCCCACGGATTACCAGCAAAAGGAGACCCAAGTCTAAAGGTAACGTTTGAGAAGAAGCCCTCTGAGTTGGAGCGTCTCAGTAACACGTGGAGAACTACATCGCTTTAAGTAAAGTGTCGTGGAGATCAAGTAAACAACACTGATTAGCCACTGGCTAACGCTGGAGCGTGTTGGGTGAGACGGCAGGCTGCGGGAAGAGAGAAGACTTGAGTAGAAGGACTTTGGAACGGACACGTTGGGACCGGATCGGGAGTTCTGGTACTATGAAAAGACGGATGAACAACGTGAGGTGAGTTTGGGAGTCAGAGACACTAATCGGAGGCTGGCGTTCAGATAATATCGGGCGGGGATCAGAACATATGCGGCTTTCTTGTGTTGGACATGATGGCGAACTGACAAAATTTGTGTCTTTTGATTTAATTTTTTTTATTCAAACTAACAAGTACAGCAACAGTGTAGCTATTCTTTTATATTTCTTTGTTGAATTAGCAGACTCCATGCTTCCAGGGTGCACTGCTGCCCTCTGCTGGTTCTTTCAGGTTACAGTCATAGTGCAAACGGGTAACGTGGAGCTTGTATGTCCCTAAACAGCTACTGTAATTTAAGATGGTGGAAGACCATGGAGCATCGACCACAGTTTATGTATATAAAAATTTATAATTTGAAGTTGATGGGAATATTTAGAATTGACGTTGGTGAGAAATGTTAGTGAAAAAGGACAAGTTTGTGAACAGGAAACACAGAATTTGATAGTAAACAGGTAAATATATCACACACCGTGCCTTTACAGGTGCATTATGTAGAAATGAAGTACCAATGACATCCTGTGGTAAAATTTGGTAACTGCAACCACTTTAAACCACTCTGGAGCTTTTTGCCAGCCATTGTCAAATCACAATTGTCGGCGCTGCAGTATTAGCTCACAGGAGACACGGCAACCCCACTCACTGATGGTAAACAGTAGTTACATCCCTCCTTTCTTCGTTTTGAAAAGTAGAAAAACTGACAATCCCTGCAGCCAGTTGGATACGAAATATATTTCAGTATAACCTTCCTTCTAAAATGACAAACGTTAGAATCTTTTGGGATTTTCTCACTGTAAAATCATCACTATATTCTAACATACTGCACCTTTAATTATACATTTCTTGATATAAGGTCAATATTTAGACTTTCCTCACACAAACACATCTTTATTTTTGAATAGATCTAGACCAACATTTGAGACAAACATTTTAGTGTGTTCCTCTAATACTTTCATGTGTCATTTGGTTAGGGTTGGCCATTTCTTTGGGCTTTGATGGAAAACATAACTAAAAATAAGCTGGTGGGAAGAAATGAAGCCTAACAGCAAACATAACCACAAAAATACAATTGAATAAAATGAGAGAAAGACAAGTCTGCTAAATGTGAATGAAGAGTTGATTCACATTGTTATAGTTCAATAGTAACATTGAATAAGTAGACCTTAGTTACCTGGTTCAGGTTTCAGTGGTAGCAGGATGTATGGAGATGTGACTGCAGGGTAGGGAGGTTCTCCAGCACTGAACAAAGTGGGAATAGCGTTTGGCTTCAGCTTCTTCCCACCAGCTGATGACCTGGCTATTTCCTCAAACTGATTCTGCTCAAAATGATCCTTAAAGAAACAAAACAAAACAAACACAGTAAACACGCACCTTTAGTCCAGATGACGCAAATCACAACAAATTAAAACCATGAGAGCTAAATATTTGGATTATTTTATTATTTATCCTGACACACTGTATCTATTTTCAGGTTGTTTCTTTCAGAGCTCATTTAGTGATGCTGAAACTTACTTGACACAGTCTGGAGTGAGGGGTCGGTTCAAAGTCACGTCGACAGTTCATCACCCATTTTTTCTTCCGCAGGGGATCTTTAGGAAACCTAAACAACTGTTTGCCTATACTGGATGAATTGGAGCAATTCGGAGCGGAGCAGCCACCCATTACACACTAATAAATAAAGTTACACGGTCACGATTTTTTCAAAAACAGTGATCTGGCTCACTTGAGACTTTTTACCATTATTTTTAGCAACGACTTTTGCGATGCAAGGACAACATAAACATAAATTCAGTAAAAATGTTAACTTGTAAAAACTAGAAATTCTACAGAAAACGTTTAGTAAATAAAATATAATAAAAATCATTTAAAAGCACTTAATGTTGATAAAATAATTCTGAGTTTGTTTGAGCCAAAATGGCGCACTCATCCTAGGTAATGATATGAGTGACGTAAAAGTCGCATGTGTGCGAGTAAGTGCCTGACGGAAAATACTTTTAAATTGCACAAAGTACAACAACTAAAGATAAATCAAAATATAAACGGTGTATTGTGTTAGTATCATTTTAAGTGCCGAATAAGTAGTTGACAATATATTTTATAACAATTTATTTGTATTTTGACTCATGCGCCAGCATAGCCACCAGTTTCATTTTCATTCAGGACCCCAAGAAGCACGCTGAAATATTTACGGCCGACTCTGTTGTCGTTGTGGATGAAAACTGAAATGTTAACAATTTAAGTAGATAAACTTAAAATACTATGACAGATCTCTGTATGAAATGAGTGAAAATTAATTCTTTATAAAATAGTTTGCCAGGATTGTCGCTTACGTCCGTCTAGCCTTCCGTAACATTCTGACTTAGTGAAATATCCAGATAAATATGTCAACTTCGCTTACAGTTCCTGTAATTGATGTCCAGAATGATAACTTTAAGGAGCTTTGGCCTGCTATGGTTGTTGCAATTAAAACGTCTTCTTTTATTGCACTCGACACTGTGAGTATTCCTGCTGCACACGGCTCAGATAGGAACAAACCTGTCCACGTGTTGTACTGATTTTATTAGACTGTTCTGGAGGTTTGGTGAAATAACAGATGTGTGTTGCTGTAGGAGCTGAGTGGGTTGGGAAACAGGAAGTCCTTGCTTGCGGAGTGAGTACAAACATCAGCATCACACCGTTTTGTCGGAATTACGTTCAGGCGTTTTGTGAAGACGTGTCCCCTCCTGCTAAAATGTAAACATTCTGGCATAGAAAACACAGGCTACGTGCCATCAGGTAATGAGGCAGTTGCATGTACTTGAGCTTGTTTTCCAGTTTTAGAAAAGCTTAAAGAGGCTGCAGGGCAAAACAGGAGGACAGTTTTTGACAGGGTTACATATTTGTCTGCAGCTCGAGCTGGTTGCTGGTTCCCCTGCCCTCACGCCTGTTGCTATGTTTCAGATCTATAGAAGACAGATACAAAGCAATATGCCATGCTGCTCGCTCCCGCTCCATCCTCTCTCTGGGAATCGCCTGCTACAAGAAACTAGACCACAAGGTAAAGCACCACACAACCCTACATTTACTACTGTGAACGTCTTATGCACATGGTATTCATTCTTTGTTCCTTTTCTTGTTTGTGCTGCTTTCAGGCTCCAGATACGTACCTGGTACAGGTGTATAACCTGACCCTGCTGTGTTCAGAGGAGTACATCATAGAGCCCCAGTCCGTCCAGTTCCTGGTGCAGCATGGATTTGACTTTAACAAGCAGTACAGCCATGGCATCCCTTACTGTAAGGGCAACAGTAAGGTGATGGACTTTTTGAACGTTTCGCCTAGGCTCCGTCCAGCTCATTTAACTCTCTCCTCCAGTGTCATCTGATCACAAACTGTCCTTTTGCTGATTTTCTTGCCTGCAAGGGAGAAGCAGATGACCGTGGAGTCCACATCCGAGCGTTGTTCACCGAATTGCTGCGCGCCAGCAAACCCCTGGTGCTCCACAATGGCCTCATCGACATGGCCTTTCTTTATCAAGTATGAAGAATTCTGATTTTGTTTTACCTCCGATCCTAAAGGTCTTTAAAAGTCCCACATTAATACAGCATCTGCTTTTAAATTCATGCTAGTTAACATCTTGTCTTTTGCACAGCAAGCTGGATGTTTTATTCCAGGTGTATTTATGCTAATGACAGGATTTTGTCTTTTTCTGCCAGAGTTTCTATGCTCACCTCCCAGACCGCCTGACCACCTTCACAGCTGACCTGTCTGAGATGTTTCCTGCTGGAGTTTATGACACCAAATACGTGACAGAGTTTGAGCTCCGGCTGTCTGCCTCCTATCTGGAGTACGCCTATAAGAAATGGTAAGAACCGGGGTATAAGTTGTCATGAATTGTAGAGTTGATAGGAAATTATTAGATCTGTACATTTCATGATAACATCAAAGTCACATCTGAGCTGATGGAATGCTTTTGTCTTCATATTCTTGTCTCCTAGTTATTTGGATAACAGCCGTCGTGTCACCTCGGGTTCACCAGAAACTCGGGTTCACTTAGAGTTTTGTCAGTATGCTGGCCACATGTCCATTTACGTGGACTACAGAGAGTGTCCAGCTGTGACCACAGCGGAGGGACAAACTGACATCTGCCAGCGCTTCTCCGTAAGTATCGAGTTTTAGTTCAAGTTCATGTCAACTCAAACTCCCAACGACTTCAGCTGGGCCTCCTTCTAACGCCTGATTTATGCTTCTCCGTCTGCGTCAGTGCGGAGACACGCAACGCCATTATCCGTCCTTGTGTAGGGCACGCAAGTACGTACGGAGTCGAGCCCACTTTTTTAAACATCCGTCGAACGAGACGGATTACGCATGCTTGTGATTGGTCAGGACGCCGCTGTTGTTTACAGCGCCGCCATTGCAAAGAGAGCCGAGTTTAACTAGCGGCAGACACGGAGAAGCTTGAAGAATACCTCGTGAAAAAACTCTAAAAATATGAATGTTTAGTTCCCCCGTGACTGGAGGAGTGAAAAGATGCGCAGCAAGCGTTTTATTTGTAGACGGAAATGACAGGAAACGTGGGTTTAGAGGTGGGGAGCGCATGAAGAGGTGGGAGAATGAGAGACAAATATGTCAGTGTAAAAAGTCTCTTATATACACAAAAAACACAATATAAACACACGATCTTGGACCGATACATGACAGGATACCACAGAACAGTGCTACGCCCTCTGTTGTCCTGGCGGGGAATTGCTTTGCAACGCTCTCCAGGAGACGGAGAAGTAAAAGAGCAAAACGCTTCCGTCAATCCGTGCGTGTCTGTCCCTTGCGGAGCTGACGGAGAAGCATAAACCAGGCTTTAGAGGCGTTCCTAGTTATAAACGGGTCCGATAGCTTCTAACCTGGACTCTTAAGTTACTGTCCTACCTTTGCATTCTTGTCTTTTCGCCTGCCAGGCTTTCGGCTGGTGTCCGAATGGCACCAAGTGTCCGCTGTCCCATGATACAGACCTAATCATCCTGCAGGATGAGAAGTGCAAAGAGGACAAAAGGAAGAAAAGAAAAAGACAAAGAGAGAAAAGGAAACGAGGAGAAGCAGCTGAAGTGATTTCTGACGGTGCCCCACAAAACAAAAGACACAACATGGAAGTGGATGAAGAAGAAGGAACCCAGGGGGAGCAGCAGGAGCAAAGGGCAGAGCCTCAAATGGACAGCGATGGAAACGGCAAACAGGACGAGGGGAATGGGCCGTGTGAAGACGAAGCAGGTAGCAGAAACTCTGAAACGACAGGCCCGGCTGAGGAAAGCAGAACAGGTGTGGATGATGCTGAGAGGAGGAAGAAGGCTGACACAGGAACACACCGGGCAGGCTTTGACGCCTTCATGACCGGATACATCTTTGCCTACTCCTGTGTGCTCACCGAGGAGGAGGTGGAAGCAGGAAGAGATGAGGCAGAGCGCTCGTGGCTCCCCGCCTGTAATAATAAGGTTTACCTCAGCGGCAAGGCAGCTCCTCTCAATGTAGTTAAAAGCACCTTCTCCAAGTCCTCCAAAGCTCATATCCAGAAGATGGAAATGGTGTGGGGGGCAAAAAGTAATTCTACACACCAGAGTTGACATTTCAAGATAAGGGACCATGTGATTGATGTATGTCACTTTTCAGTTTATTGCTTTGACTCTTTTACTAATATTTGTTTTAAGTCAACCAGTCCCCGAGTGCTTAGCTGTATCAAAGCGAACACGAGCTTCGCCACACTGTCCGCTCTAGTTGGTCATAAATATATTAGGAGTTTGGGTTTTTTTGCTGACAGGCTCGTAACAAACAAACATTCTGAGGATAATCATCGTTAAGCAGCAAGCTGCTCTATTATTTTCCTAATTAAAAATTAATAATCAGATTATTTTTGAAAAAATGACCCATTTCTGGTGGCTGGCTGCTGATTTTCTTTCACTAAACACGTTTACATTAAAATAAGGTCATCATCAGCAGTTTTTAGTTTTTGGTATAAAAAAACTTTTTACTCAACTTCATTAATACACTTAAACTACTAAATGAGGTAGAAACCCCATCAGGTAAACTACTTCCTTCACATAAAGGCAGATGTTGTATTTCCTGTTTTTGTGGTAATAAAAGTTTAAAACGATTGTGTGTTCATGAGGTTTTTCAGCTCTTGAGCTCATTCAGAGTTGAAAATAAGAATAAAAACGATAAATAGCGATGAAAACTAGTTTTCCATGACTTGTGGCCAACAGTAAATGACTGCTGGTGTTTAGCAGTCTCAGATGCTTTGCACCAAAGTGTGTTGGAAATAAAATTCTGTTACACCAAAATCCATTTATTAAATAAAGATGGTAACAGTTAAATTTGTACATATAAAAATGCATCAGGAAAGTAACTGTTGCACAATACAGCTGCATGGTAGTGACCCCGGCTGGTGGCACTGTGGCCCTATAAGAAAGTTGCCTGTTCAAATCCCCTGAACTTCTTTCGTTGTTTTTTTGACTGTTCGGACACTTAGAAAGCAGCTAAAAACCCCTTCCATTTAAAATGCATTATAAAGTTTTATTTTTCCATTTGTATTATGATCTTATTTGTTTAGTCAGTTTGTTTGTTTTAATTAATCTTTGTCTTTTAATAAAGGTTTTAAGTTTGATGTGATTTTCTTTGTGAGATTTTTCTTTCTGTGATCAACTTTTCTGACTTACTATGGCCTTTCCACATGGAAGACAAACAAGTTCTCATGCATGGGCTTTCTTTGAAAACATGCATGTTAGTTTCTTTGTTGAGTCTAATTGTCCTTAGGTGAGTGTGACGTCCCCGACAGGAGATGTTAAAATGTGAAGGAGGGGGTAACAAGAAATGCGACAGTGGAGTTAAAATTGGTTTATCTGCTATAAAAGTTTCTAATAAGTGCAAACAGATGGCGAGCATTATTAAGATAATGTAAAACAAACAAACAAAAAAAACCTCAAAAAGGTTAACATTAAAAGAGCAGTTACATACATTAAAATCACCTGGGTAAAACTTATGTTAAAAGCTTTACCAAACAGAAGGTGTTTTAGAAACCAAAGTCTATAAAATTGCATCACCAAGTTAACCTTTAAAACGATCCCTCTGGATCACTCAGAGGTTTAACTCTTTAAAGCTCATCAACTCGGAGTTAAAACTATGAAAGTCAAAATTCTTCAAAAACAAAGGTGTTTAAAATAAACTCTGTGGCCTGGAAGACAGCAGAACCCCTGCACTGCTGCCTTCCAGACTGCTGAAGGCACAGCCTTTTTATCCAGGTGTTGGTCATCAGCAGGATTCAGATCAGCTGTGCTCCTCAGCAGCCTCGAAGAGAGGAGGGGGGGGCGGGGGGGGGGGGCGGTGTCAGGCTGATCACCGGGGCTGGGTGATCCTGGCTTCTGCATCCCAATGGCCAGGCTGGTAGCCGTAGTGAGTGTGTGAGACTGGTTGTGGGTCTCTGGCACTGTGATGGACTGGTAACCTGTTCAAGGTGTCCCTACCTCTCATCCAGTGAATATATTAGTGAGGAGCAGCGGTTCTACTCCGAGTCCCTCCCGAATGTCCGAATATATTCACTGGATGAGAGGTAGGGGCACCTACCTCATATTTCCATCATAATGGAAATAGACACATATGGCCCGAGGATAAAGTGGTCCAGAAAAATGAGTGGAAGTTTTACAATGAGAACATAATCCTGAATAAGATGCAATGAAAAAGTTGATGATCTAACAACATTTTTGCTAATTAATTTGTTTCCAATTTGTTGTTTTCGTTGTCGTCTTCCTCCGCTTATCCGGGTCGCGGGGGCAGCATCCCAACTAAGGAGCTCCAGACCGTCCTCTCCCCGGCCTTCTACACCAGCTCCTCCGGCAGGACCCCAAGGTGTTCCCGGACCAGATTGGAGATGTAACCTCTCCAATGTGTCCTGGGTCGACCCGGGGGCCTCCTGCCGGCAGGACATGCCTGGAACACCTCCCCGGGGAGGCGTCCAGGAGGCATCCTGACCAGATGCCCAAACCACCTCAACTAGCTCCTTTCGATCCAGAGGAGCAGCGGTTCTACCCCGAGTCCCTCCCGAATGTCCGAGCTCCCCACCCTATCTCTAAGGCTGAGCTCGGCCACCCTATGGAGGAATCTCATTTCAGCTGCTTGTATCCGCGATCTCGTTCTTTCGGTCATTACCCAAAGCTGATGACCATAGGTGAGGATTGGGACGTAGATCGACCGGTAAATCGAGAGCCTGGCTTTCTGGCTCAGCTCCCTCTTCACCACGACAGATCGGCTCAGCGTCCGCATCACTGCGGATGCTGAACCAATCCACTTGTCGATCTCCCGATCCCTCCTACCCTCACTCTTGAACAAGACCCCGAGATACTTAAACTCCTCCACTTGAGGTAGGACCTCTCCCCCGACCTGGAGTTGGCAAGCTACCCTTTTCCGGTCGAGAACCATGGTCTCAGATTTGGAGGTGCTGATCCTCATCCCAGCCACTTCACACTCGGCCGCAAACCTACCCAGCAAGAGCTGAAGGTCAGAGCTGGATGAAGCTAGGAGGACCACATAATCTGCAAAAAGCAGAGACGAGATTCTCCTGCCACCAAACTCGACACACTCCACACCACGGCTGCACCTAGAAATTCTGTCCATAAAGGTAATGAACAGAACTGGTGTCAAAGGGCAGCCCTGGCGGAGTCAAACCCTCACCGGGAACAGGTCCGACTTACTACCGGCTATGCGGACCAAACTCATGCTCCTCTGGTAAAGGGACTGAATGGCCCTTAACAGAAAGCCACCCACCCCATACTCCTGGAGCGTCCCCCACAGGGTGCCCCTGGGGACACGGTCATAAGCCCTCTCCAAATCCACAAAACACATGTGGATTGGTTCGGCAAACTCCCATGCCTCCTCCATCACCCTTGCAAGGGTATAGAGCTGGTCCACATTTCCACGGCCAGGACGAAAACCAGATTGCTCCTCCTCAATCTGAGATTCAACTATCGATCGGACCCTCCTCTCCAGTACCTTGGAGTAGACCTTTCCAGGGAGGCTGAGGAGTGTGATCCCCCTATAGTTGGAACACACCCTCAGGTCACCCTTCTTAAAGATGGGGACCACCAGCCAGGTCTGCCACTCCACAGGAACTGCCCCCGATGACCACGCAAGGTTGGGTTGCAAAGACGTGTCAACCACGACAGCCCTACAACAACCATAGCCTTGAGATACCCAGGACGAACCTCATCCGCCCCCGGGGCTCCGCCGCTGTGTAGTTGTTTGACTACCTCAGCAACTTCTGCCCCCGAGATTGGACAGTCCATCCCCAGGTCTCCCGGCTCTGGTTCCTCCTCGGAATGCGCATAGGTGGGATTGAGGAGCTCCTCAAAGTATTCCTTCCACCATCCGACTATAGCCCCAGTTGACGTCAGCAGCTCCCCATCCCCACTGTAAAGAGTGTGAGCGAGTTGCTGCCTTCCTCTCCTGAGGCACCGGACAGTTTGCCAGAACCTCTTTGGAGCCGATCGATAGTCTTTCTCCATGGCCTCACCAAACTCCTCCCACGCCCGAGATTTTGCCTCGGCAACTGCCACTGCTGCACCCCGCTTTGCTATCCGGTACCTGTCTGCTGCCTCCGGAGACCCACAGACCAGCCACGCCCTGTAGGCCTCCTTCTTCAGCCTGACGGCTCCCTGAACCTCTGGTGTCCACCAGCGGGTACGCGGGTTGCCACCGAGACTGGCACCTGCCACCTTGCGACCACAGCTAGCAACAGCCATCTCAACAATCGCGGAGTGGAACAAGGCCCACTCGGAGTCAATGTCCCCCACTGCTCTCGGGACGTGGTCAAAGCTCTGCCGGAGGTGGGAGTTGAAGACCGTCTTGACAGGTTCTTCTGCCAGGCGTTCTCAGCAGACCCTCACTATGCATTTGGGTCTGCCAGGTCTACGCAGCATCTTCCCCTGCCATCTGATCCAACTCTCCACCAGGTGGTGATCAGTTGACAGCTCCGCTCCTCTCTTCACTCGGGTGTCCAAACCATACGGCCGCAGGTCAGATGATACGACTACAAAGTCTATCATCGACCTGCGACCTAGGCTGCCCTGGTACCAAGTGTACCAATGGCCATCGTTATGTTCGAACATGGTGTTCGTTGTGGCCAAACTGCAGCTTGCTCAGAAGTCCAATAACGAAACACCACTCGAGTTCAGATCAGGGCCGTTCCTCCCAATCACACCCCTCCAGGTCAAGCTGTCATTGCCCACGTGAGCATTGAAGTCCCCCAGCAGGACAATGGAGTCCCCTGATGTAGCACTATCTAGCACTCGTCCCAGGGACTCCAAAAAGGGTGGGTACTCTGAACTGATATTTGGCCCATAAGGACAAACAACAGTCAGGACCCGTTCCCTAGCCCGAAGGTGCAGGGAAGCTACCCTCTCGTCCCCCGGGGTAAACCCCAACACACAGGCAGAGAGTCTTGGGGCTAACAACAAGCCAACCCCAGCCCTCCGCCTCTCACCCGGAGCAACTCGAGTTTTTTTCCTGGTTTTTATTTATTAATTTTTTTACATGGCTACTACTTGTTGGTCTGTTACCCTAAAATTCCTACCAGATAGTTGATCCGATGAAAAGAATGAAGTCTACCTTTTATTTTTAGGTAATTTATATGATATTCCTGCTCCAGTTGTTCCATGTTTGGTTGAAGCGCCCAGTTTCCACCAGAGGGCGCTGCCGCAGCACCGGTCGGATGCTGCTGCTGCTAAACGCTCCAGAGAAGAAGAGATGTTCCCGTCTGCAGGAAGGTTTGTGTTTCAGCTCCGCTGATGCTCATCAGTTCCGTGTTTCATTAACACAAATAAATTAGTTTAATTCATTCTTCGTTTAAGTGTTTGGTACCGTCGCCTGTAGGAGCCGCACGAGAGAACTGCAGCTCATTCTGAAGCATTAAGAAAATGTCAGCCGATGAAATCGACTACAACATTGTGTTTCCTGATGCGGGCACGACAGGTGAGCAGGATTTTTACCGAGCCACAAAACAGACTCATGGTTTAAAATAAGCGCGTTCCGCTAAAGTGCAGTTAAACATGCTGTTTCTGCCAGGCTGGCTAATGTAGCTTAGCCCTGCTAACAGCCTGGTGTGTGTGTGTGTGTTTTCAGAGAGACACTGGAAGGGGACAAAGGAGCCAGTTGTGATCCTGTTAGGCTGGGCTGGGTGCAAAGACAAGCACCTGTCCAAATACAGCTCCATCTACAACGAGCAGGTCAGAAACACGTGCAGTTTGTAATCTCTGTGTTCAAAACCTGTGGCATAATAAACACGTGGCACTAATTTGTTCTTGACACCTTTAGGGGTGTGTTACCATCCGCTACACAGCTCCCCTGAAGACCGTCTTCATCTCAGAGTCCTTTGGCTACAAGGAGCTGAGCAGCACAGCCCTCAAGCTGCTGGAGATCCTCTACGACTACGAAGTGGAGAACAGTCCCATCTTCTTTCACATATTCAGTAACGGGGGCTTCATGCTATTCCGCTACATGGTGGAACTGCTGCACAGTGACAAACAGTTCAGCTCGCTGTGTGTGATCGGGGCTGTGGTAGACAGCGCTCCAGGTAATGCGAATATCCGCGGTGCTCTGCGCGCTCTGTCAGCCACGTTAGGACCCAACATAAGCCCTCTTCTACGGTACTTCCTCTTAGCCCTCTTTGCTGTGACCGTCTTTCTTTTGCGGGTGGTGTTGTATCCTCTGACGAAGTTCATTCACAAAAACCACTATGATGCCGTGCAAGACCGGCCTCCCGCCTGGCCTCATTTCCACCTGTACTCCAGAGCCGACCAGGTGATCCGACACAGGGACATCGAGCAGTTCATGGATACCTTGAAGAAGAAAGGCGTCCCCGTGGACAGTTACGATTTCGTCTCCAGCTCCCATGTCTGTCATTTCCGAGATTTTCCTGAGCAGTATACTCGCAAGTGCCGCAGTTTCCTTGTTGCTTGCATGAAAGACTTGGAAGGAGCGGAAATGAAAAATGTTTACAAAGTCAGTGAAACCTGGAAAAGAAACTGAATTTTTTTCTTAAAATCTGAAAAGCAATCAAACTGCCTAAGTGGTTTGACAAACTTCTGAGAAACTAGAAAGAGAATTTTAATAAATTCTAATATTGCAAAGTTGAAACGAGTCTCCTGTGCACTTGAAGGGAAGGTCCCACTTTTCTGGTGTTAATAAATCCTGGCACACACTGGAACTCTCATGCTGCTGAAGTATGTGGGATAAAGGCGGAGCTCTGCTTCCTCTAATGTTTTTACAACTGTCTTGATCCACATGTCGGCGTAGATCCAACCACAGTTGAACGTCTTAGGGAATGAAGTCTTTGTGCTGTGAAATGTGATGCATTGTAGATTAGTAGTAGTGCATATTACACGATGCAGCTGTATTTAGTTTTAATAAATGTAATTAATGATTTACTGAAATTGGATTGAAGGGGTGCTCATAATGAAGGTAACCGTCATATTAAAGTGATTCTTTTGTTTTTGCAACTTAGAACGTTTTTAAATTGTTGCCTTATGAAGTCAATTTCTTTTAAAATTGTCACAAATGTTTAATTATTCAGCTCTAATATGTGATCCAGTATAAATTTAGTCCAGGATCAAAGTTGCGTGACAATGAATGTATGTCTCCAGCAAAACTAATTTATTCCTCTTAACTGATGTGCCTTCAATAAACCAGAATGCTCACAGTCAAAGATGTCATCCTGCTGATTTTACAGCCATCTTAGCTTTTGTTCTGTGGATTTGAGCTGAAACCAAAGTTCAGTGGGATGCCACACCAGAACTGTTAATTTACATAAAGTACAGCGTGCAAAACTATGATATGAGGCCAAGATTCCAGTACCTGCTTATTTAAGCAGAAGATTAGCAACATGAGGTTACAGGTGCATATTTTGCAAAATGAGTGTCAGAATGATGATCCTATGGTGATGCATATGTGTTTGAAGTGAGTAAATAGGAGATGCGTGTGGTTTGAAACAGTAGCTTAGGGTAGCAATACAGTATGTAAGATTTAGGGATGTTCCGATATCGATATCAGAAGTAATTTGATATCGGCCCAAAAACACAAATTATATGGGATGGCATCAAAAGTCTGATATAAGCAGTCCACTAAGGTTCACATTTTTGCAACCAATGGTAAAAAAAATGTCTTTTCATACTTACTGTTATTGGCTCTTATTCTCCAATTGAGTAAAATCACTTGACCAAGCCTTTCATAAATTCCACACTACGAAACAGGTAAAAGTATGTATGATTGATGCTGATATCGTATCGGTTTGATATTGGTATCGGTCAACACTGAAGGCTGCAATATTGGTATCGTATCGGAAGTGAAAAAGTTGTATCAAGACATCGCTAGTGAGATCAAAACAACACTATACTGTACACACTCTTAGCTACAGCACTCAGTTCAGTTTTAGACGGACCTTATATGCAGTGGCGGCTGGCCAGTAGAGGGCAATAGGGCGCCGCCCTCCCAGTTATCCCCAGTGTTTATAATTTTTATTTAAAAAATAAATAAATAAAATTAACAATAATCACATATTCTAAGTTAATTGTGTATTTTGTAACAAAAATAAATCATATATATATATATATATATATATATATATATATATATATATATATATATATATATATATAGGTCTCTGCCCAGCGGTGGAGGCTGTAGGCTGTTTTTGAATCACCCAAACAGGACGGGACCAGTCGTCCAATTGCTGACAAGAAAATCAAAGGGTAGGAATGGGAATGTATCCAATCAGCGTCGACTTGTTTCAGAAGCATGATGGGCGATAGAGCTACCGCCAAAGGTTTCGTTGGTGTTCAGTAGAACACGGCAGAACTCGGCAGAGTCGTTTTTGGTCGTGACTCGTGACGCAGATGTAACATGGACGCCACCGGTGACTACAACCAGCATGGATACCGGATCTCAGCAGCCACTGAATTCAGTTCGGTCTCTTCTCCAGCATCCGTTCGAGAGGAGAACTATGGTGGAAAAACTTAATGTCAAAGAGCTTGGACCAGATCAGCCCGACGTAAAGATAAGCCAGCAGGAGGAGGAGAGAGGTAAACTACACACCAGGCTTCTGGGAAGGCTTGGCTAGCTGGATGCAATCACGCTACTGCGTTATTTTGCTTTCCGTGTTTGTTATTCAAAACGACTGTGACAGATGAGGCATGGATTGAGTCAGGAGTTACGGACATGAAACATTTTTCTGAGAAGGTGAAGAAACATGAGTTATCCCGGGCTCACATGGACAACACGGTGAAGCTAGCTATGCTAGGCAGAGCTAACATTGCCATGCAGCTAGAGACGAGGGACACAGGCTTGCAGTGAAGAAACACAATGAAGAAGTGGATCAGAACCGGCACATTTTGTCCAAGAGAGAGATGTCAACACAGTGTATGAGCACAAGGATGACCTCCTCAGATTTTTCCAGATGATCAGAGACTCGGATGACTTTGATCCAATCACTGAGAGAGAGGCAGGAGGCTTTGTGAGAATGCTGGAGGAAGACGATTTCGGCTTTCTGCTGGCATTGTGTCACAAGATCATGCCACATGTGGACATGCTGTTCAACCAGCTGCAGAAGAGGAACATTGACTCTGTCTACATCACAGGGGTCATCCAGAGCTTCACCAACAGTATGCAAAAGATCAGGTACATACTTGTTTATTTAATATTATTGTGATGAAATTCTCCAGTATGTTAGTTTCACAAACAGTAATGTGGATGTGGACCATATATGGTCATGTTATTTTATGTGCAATTTAATGCAGTATTCTTCAACCTTGGTCCGCAAGGCAGTGTGCCAATAGTCAGACACACGTGGATTAATCCCTTTGTCCAATAATGTAAAACAGGAAATAAAAGAGCTGTGCTTAATTCAGGAAATAGTGAAGTTGTGCACAAAGCTCAGAAAGCACAAGTTTGTTTAAAAAAAATAGCACAGCCCCACCAAAAATATTTTTCACCAGCCGCCACTGCTTATATGAGTGAGAAGGAGTAATTGTGACGAAAAGCTTGAACAAAACTGGTTGTGTTAAACCAAAACCATACAGAGAATTTTTTACCCTCTATCTCAGTGAAGCTGGTTAAAAAAATCTTGTATTTTTGTCCTTTTGTGAATTTTATTGAGAAGAAGGAGGAGGACAATAAGGACCTGCACTTATAAAGCTACAATAGTTATTAAAACACTTGTAAATTATTTCAAAATAAAGAGCTGCAGAGTTTTGGCGTGATCAACAGGGTCTCACCCTAACCATCTGTTTTCTCTTCATTTAGCTAAAAACACAACTGAAATAAATTATATTATTTTTCATCAGAACTTCCTGTAGATTCCTTCAAAATAAAACATACCACTTAAACGTACTATGGGTTTTAAATTAGTGCTAGCAGCATAGTTAGTCGAAACAACAGAAAGCCAGAACTTCTTCACCCATACAAAGTACTAAAACTTAATAAATCTTTGTTATTTATCTGTGTTCAACAATATTAAATCAACAAGCTAAAGCAGGAACTATTAGCAGCATGCTAGCACTACAAACATCAGATCATACGCCCTCTAGTGGCAACAAGGTGAAACAATCCACAGTAGACTTGGAGGTTTCTTCCTCTTAATACATTTAATTAAGTTATTCATAAGTAACATAAAATAAACATATTAGTTGCAAAATTTTACCAGCATAAGTTTATAGTTTCTAATCATATATATCAGATATTAAACTATTAGTTATTACTTCAAAGACTCATAAATATCCAACAACGTCTAATAAATGCTTAGACATTGATACACATTAATGTATTTGGATTTCATAATGATTGTACAAACTATTAAAAAATAAAATACAAATAAAATGTAATGAAAATGAGGTTACTGAAGAAATAACTGTAAATGTTCAAACACAACACCTGGTTTAATTTGATAAACTTGTTTTATCAGATGAATAAAATTTGCAATATATTATAATTATATGGTTTAAATGACAACACTGAAGATCAGTAAAATGTAATATGTACATTTTATAATGACAAATGAAGGTAGAAGAAACACATTTCTAAATCATTCCTTTGTGCAATAAAGCATTAGTAAACTTCTTATAAATATTGTACTTATGTTAGAGCATCCATCCATCCATCCATCCATCCATCCATCCATCCATCTTCCACTTATCCAGAGTTGGGTATCCATCTTCCACTTATCCAGAGTTGGGTCCATCTTCCACTTATCCAGAGTTGGGTCACAGGGGTAGTCGAGAGTCCCAGACTTCCCTCTTCCCAGTCACTTGGTCCAGCTCCTCCAGGGGGATCCCAAGGTGTTCCCTGGCCAGCGGAGAAACATAGTCCCTCTATCATGTCCTGGGTCTACCTTTAGGTCTCCTCCCAGTTGGACGTGCCCGGAAAACCTCACCAGGGAGGCGTCCAGGAGGACTCCTGACCAGATGCCCGAGCCACCTCAACTGGTCCCTCTTGATGTGTTTGAGCAGTCCCACACAAATACAGAGAGGAATTAGCCCTTTTTTGTTACATTAAATAAATAGTTTTTTCTACACTTTATCAATTTCTTTGATAGGTTTTGCTCATAATTAATTAATTTTGTGGCTTTTTTTACATAGCAAACTGTGATTACAGCATCCATTCGTACACACACACACACACACACACACACACACACACACACACACACACACACACACACACACACACACACACACACACACACACACACACACACACACACACACACACACACACACACACACACACACACCAAAGAGAAAGAAAATGTTTAAAATGTGGGTCATAAAGTGTAACAATCAGCCCAAATGAATAAGTCATAAACAATGCAAAAGTAAATACACAAGAATCAGGAGCGACTCACAGTTGCCAGATTTGATGTTTCTTTCATAATATAAACGGTAAGTGACCTGTATATGTATATCATAGGCCTCTAGAACCCCCCCAAGGTGCTTCACACGGGTGAATGGGTCATAAGTGAATGGGTCATTCACCCATTCACTCACCCATTCACACGCTGATGGTGATGAGCTTCCCTGGTGCGCACTGACAGAAGCAAGGCTGCCGAGCACTGTCGCCATCAGTTCCTCCGACCACCACGGGCAGGCAAGGTGGAAGTCTCTTGCCCAAGGATGCAACAGCAGCATTCTCTATTGGGAGCTGGAATTGATCCTAAAACCCTCTGGACAACCCGCTCTACCTCTTGAGCTACTGCTGCCCACATAGTATGGCCCATTGTTGCCAGCAAAGACATTAAAGATGGATGGATGGATGGATGCCCACATAGTATGGCCCATTGTTGCCAGCATAAACAATAAAGATGGATGGATGGATGCCCTCATAGTATGGCCCATTGTTGCCAGCATAGACATTAAAGATGGATGGAAGGATGCCGACATAGTATGGCCCATCAGAATCAGAATCAGAATAAGCTTTATTGCCAGTGCTCCATCGACCCAGAGCATAGGAACTTGAGTCCGCAAACACAACCTGACCAAGGTTAAACACACACACGTAGACAAAACAGGTACAGGCAGTCCGCGAGAGCAGCCAGAACGGCTGCTGGATGGATGCCCACATACTATGGCCCATTGTTGCCAGCATAGACATTAAAGATGGATGGATGAATGGATGCCCACATAGTATGGTCCATTGTAGCCAGCATAGACATTAAAG